CTCTCTCTCTCTCTCTCTCTCTCTCTCTCTCTCTCTCTCTCTCGCCTCCCTCTCTTGCTCCCTCCCTCCCTCTCTCTCTCTCTTCCCCTTGGTCTCTCTTCCTTCCGTCTCTCTCTCTCTCTCTCTCTCTCTCTCTCTCGTACAGGGACATGGAGAAACTTGGCACTTTTTCATGTTTTGCCTTCTTGGAACTGGGAGGGAAAAGGGTCATTTGGTTGGTGTTCCTTCTCGAAAGTCCGACAAAACAGTCAGTCACCATCACCCTTATGTTGTGGAGTTGCAGCGAATACAGAACATACATGTTGTGTGTGTGGTTGGGGTCTTATGCCTTAATACATTCCATGCAGCCCGGCCTGTCAATGGCCAGTGCCCTTTATGCCAGTCTGTTGTGGTGGTGAGTACTGGAGTAGTTTCTCCCCTCTCTCCTCTCCTTCAGGTCCCCCCATGCAACAGCTGCTAAAAATTCCAAACGAATGAGCATCACTAAATCACCGAACAAGACCTAGCGCACAACTGTGCCGAAAGGCGGACGTGTGTGTAGGCCCCTACCGTCTTCCACACAAATAGAACGCCCTGTCATTATCGCTGCATCTGGACTGAAAGTTGTGGCAAATACAGCTATAACGACCGGGCGTTCTATTTGTTGTGGCAAATACAGCTATAACGACCGGGCGTTTCACTGAGAACATCACCACCATGTCCTCATCACCACTTGGGAGCCATCTTTAAGAAAAAAATGACGATTTCTATCTATTCTGTATGGTCACTATGGTGTGCATTAATAATTGAAATAGAAATTAATAATTATAGAATAGAAATGGGGTGTGGCGGCGAGGCAGCAATCTACAGTTGGTTCGAAAAAGTTTTTTTGTTTTTTTGTTTTTTTTGTTTTCCCCTTTTTCTCCGCATTGATTGTAACAAACACAGATGTGGTGGACCTTGCACTTCACACTGTGTAGGCACTCCCTCACGTTCAACTACAGAGGCGGCTGTGCAGACACCGCACGCTCAACTACACAGACATGGCGGTGAACCGCCTCTGTGTAGGAACTCATTCTTTCAATCTCTTCTTGCTTTTCGGATCGGATTTGGGAGTTTATCTGGACTTCGTTGAAAACTCGCATGTGGAGTGCCTCTCCTGGTGTTGTGTAGAGGTCTCGTGTTGTAAAAGATTGCCTTGTGGTGAAGTGTTTAAGGACAGACGAGTTTCGAGGGCTTTTGTTCATGGATATGGAATTACGAGGGGGGCAATTTTTAGAGGGGGGGGGGGGGGCGGTGCACATGTGGTTGTAGTTCTTTAGCCGCGGGAACTCCTCGAGCTGCACGAACCGTCCATCCGATTTTCTTTTCTGGAGCAACTTTTCGGCCGATTGGGGAGGGGTGGTGCTTTAGTATGCCCGCAGGGTAGAATTTTTCGTTTGATCGTTTATTGATATGAATAATGAAAAACACAAACAAAAAAAAAAACTTTAAAAAAGTGTAAAAAAAAATTAAAAAACATATGCGAATTGATGATGGGATACCCTGAGCAGTGAGCTATGATTTTCTGTGGCTGTTGAGTGCTGGTTGGCGAGGACCCTTTTTTGTTTGCCTTCCCCCCTGTGTTTCATATGTGCAAGCGCCTTTAAGATCAGATGGGTGTGTGTGGGCAGGCACTTGGCAGCGAAGTTGGCGCGCTTAACGACTGAAAGGTAGCCAGCCTTGCAGTCATTTTAGTTCTAAATGGATATGGAATGATGTTATGGATGCATTTGGGGATACAATGTTTACAAACTTTACATTGTTTAGTGTTTAGCGTAGTTGAGAGACGCACACGCTATGGTTCTCCTTTTTTTGGCCACACTTTTCTTTTCTTTTCTTTTCTTTTTTGCGGGAATTCTGGTCGTGTTTAGGTCCCCCTGTGTAATGTACATTACAGCCATGCCATGTACATTGCTATATGCCAGAATTCTGGTCATGTTTAGGTCCCCCTACGCAACATGGTCTTCCCAGCGATTGCGTTGTGTCTGACATCGGACGAGTGTTGTCGGACGTGGTGGTTAGAAAGTTTCTGTTCGATTCATACACACAGAAAAAAGGTTGATGCGATTGACATCCTACCTATAGCCTGTGTGCTGGTGGACTCTTCAGTGGCATGGAACGGAATGGGCGGAGATTCTCGTTTGGTTGGTGAAATACAGTGTGTGGCACTGTGTTCTCCTTGGTGTGTGCGCTTGCAAGCAGAGATCCGGAAGCAGCGGAAGATGGGACATATCACCGTTGTAGGGCCGAGCTTGGAAGTGGTCCGAAACCGGATGGCGAAGATTCGAGGAGAGAGCGACAGTGAACATCCAATCGACAGATTCAACACTCTGGCCAGAGCCCGGACAGATGAAATGGTATCGACAGATGCAAATTCTGGAGGTCAGTTTCTTTTCGTTATCCTTTTTTTTTGTGTGTGTGATGAGGTGATCCCTCTTCCAAAGGTGCGATTCGACTCTCGCCGGATGGCGCAAACTCCACTCTCCAACTGATCAGGGTGTTATTAGCTTGAGAAGTCGAGCGGCATTCGGTTCATGGGCGCACGTCACACATGACATGCGCCATGTTTGACGTGTGCCGTGTGTGACATGCGGCAGCCACACATCTGTGCACTCTCTGTGCACAGGTGTGCTCGGCACTGCTATCAAGTATATTGTATAGTCCGCGCCGTTCCGCCAGCAGGCAGATATAGTACTGGGGTGTTGTATTGGGAGGAAGAAGGAAGTGTTATTTTGAAGCCTTGGGCACTGTGCGCAGGTGTGCTCCTCGTGTCACCGCTCGGAAGTATTGTGTGTACTCATTACTGTGTAGTATGCACCGTTCAGTCACCGAATCGATTTTTATTTTTTATTATTGTTGTTCTTATAAGGGCTACAGCGTTGAGAAATCATTATCATCATCAAACTGACCAGACTCAGGTAATTCATTCAGACTTTTTTACTCGGTTCATGTGGTTCTATCTGGATTCGTACCCGGGTCTGTATTTCAACAGTTCATGGGTGTCCCCACTGGATTCTGTAGTGGCCTGGAACTTAACCATTGTCTTGAACTCGGCGATTAATGGTTTGGAACTTTGGAGAACTTTGGACTCAGCGAAACTGTTCGTTCGTGCCGCCATGCATATAACAACGTTGTTATATGAGCGATACAGGCAATTGCCTTTACGCATGCACCTTCAGCCGTTTCTGTCTTTAGTAATGCTTTGAGGCTTGCACTTTCTGCTCCAGTTAGCTTCAAAGAAGTGCAAGTTGATACTACACGAGCATTCACCACCTCTAACCGAAAACTGCACTGCATCTGTGGTTTTGGTTTGCTGCACATGGCCAGAGGAGCCGAATCCAGGCTCCTGTCTTTTTTTGAGCGTTGGCTGTCAAAGGGGGGTTGGGGGGGGAGTGGGGTACACTTTGTTTTTTAAGGGGCTTACTTCCCGGCTAAGGGGGTTTAAAGGGGGGGTGACTTAGTCTGATTCTGCTGTTTCCTTTTTATATCTCCGATTCTGTGAGGAATTCTGATTTGACCTTCAGCCAAAGGTCGTTGGTATTGCAATTCTATTTTTCTACACATTGTACACAACATTTTTTTTTTCTGGCTTTTTTAACTCTTAAGTTTTAAGGCTTTTTTTTTTTTTTTGGTTTGGCGCTGGGGCTACCCGGAACCCTGCCTGGGGTTCATCCCCGGCGGGGCACCCGGGCGTGTATCCGGGCACAAGTTGGGTGCCGGGTGCCCAGACAAACAGCCTACTTGGGTGAAACCGTGAAACCCATTTTGTGTGCATTTGGCCGTTTGATGTTTGCAATGTGGTAGAATTGGAGGCAAAAAAAAAAAAAAAAAAAAAAAAAAGAGAGAGAATTGGCGCTCAGCTTTCACATGTGCATAATGTGTCATCTATACTTTGTTCATCAATTCTGTGAGTGAATTGGAGTCTAGTGTCTTTTGACTCTTTTTCGTTTTGTGTTTCGTTTCTTTCTGCCCAAGTTTTTGGTCATTTTTGGTTTGTTGGTTTTATAGATATAGCCAGAAACAATTTCCACTTTTTGGAAGATAAATTTAAATAATTGCCCTCCCTCCCAAACAAAAGAAAAAAAAAAAGAAGGGAAAGGAGTTAATGAAAAGAAACTTAAGAAAGTGTACGGAGTAGTTCATTGCTGCCTTATCAACGCAATTTCCTGGAAGTATTCATCCTAGTAATGGACGGGGTTGATGTCAACAAGATTCTCGGTCGTTGATGTGGTAGAGATGATCAAAGTCAGAACGGTACAAAGAATCTGGTCGGTACGGTTGCGGATAGGGAAAATCGCTGAAAGCAAAAAAGGGAAAGGTGTCAATGGGTGGGTGGGTGGGTGGTGAGTCAGCACCCACCCACCTACCCACCTACCCACCCACCCACCCACCCACCCACCCACCCACTCATTGCGCCTTTTCCCTCTTTCCTGTTTTTGGAACCGTTGGCGAATCAGTCCATGTGAAAGGTCGGTGAAGCCTCTCTCTCTTCAGATTTTTTAGCTTAATCGCCCCCCCCCCCGGCCCCCTACCAGATTTGGCTTGCATCTGGTAGGGGGTCGGGGGGGAAAGATTTTATTAATGGGGTCAGATTCTGGATTTTTGCCCCGTTTTTTTTTTTTTTGTGTGTGGCAGATTTGGATGCATCTGTTGGGATTGTTAATGGGACCATATTTTGATTTGCCCGTTTTTATTATTTTTTTTTGTTTGTTTGCAGATGTGGCTGCACCTGTTGGGATTATTATGGGGTCGGATTCCGATTTGCCCGTGATGAAAGCTGCAGCAGAAGTACTGGACGAGTTTGGTATTTCTTATGAGGTTAGCACATTGATGACCTCTTCGGGTCGCTTCACCCATGCATCCCTGCATTCAATAAATGAATGAATCAATCCAATGAAGGTAAGGAAGGGAGGGAGGAAGGAAGGAGGCAGAGAGGGAGGGAGGGAGGGAGGGAGGGAGGGAGGGAGGGAGGGAGGGAGAGGAAGGAATGAAGTGAATTGACAAACTATTAAAGTTAATAGAAAAAAATCAAATCGATCAGACCCAATTTATCCACTCACTTTGACTCAAAGCACTTGATTGCTCAAAGTCAAGAAGACCAAAGAAAACCAATCAATCAATCAATCAATCAATCAATCAATCAATCAATCAATCAATTGAAGCAATCAATCAACAAATGCCATTCAGCTTGTGTGGGCAAGGGTGACCAAGCTGTTCATTTGATCAAATCAACCACATTCCTTTTTTAGCTTAAACCACTAGTACTTCCTAAAGTCGTGCCCTTGTTAACAAGTCGTGATTCTAGGAAACGTACGGGCCACTAGAAATGTTTCTACTCAACATTTTTCCCGACTAGAAACGTTTCTACTCTACTTTTTCCTGCGGCCAATAGCTGGGCCAAGTACTGGTGGTTCAAGAGTCACACAGTTTCGAACTTTGAATGTTACAAACAAGTAAAAAGTTAAAAAAAGTATTCACTGATATGGAGTCGCCCAGATTTGGAGGTCAGAACTTGGTTCGGTCTTCAGATTCTTCAATGATATGAAAGTTATACCGGGAACAAAAGTCTTTCATTCAGTCTCGCGCTCTCGCGCCGCTTATCGTCTGATAACTAGTGCCTGAGTACATAACCACCTGCAACCTCATCCTAACACCTTGACATGACTGTTTTGTCTGTGTATGTGTGTGCGTGAGTGTGTGCACGTGTGTTGTGTTGCATGTGTGCTGTGTCTGTGTTTGTATATTGTGTTGTATCTATGTGTGTGTGTTGTGTGGTGTCTGGTTTTGTGTTTGTGTATTGTCTTGCATCTGTGTGTGCGTGTGCGTGTGTGTTGTGTCTGTGTGTCTATATTTGTGTATTGTGTGTGTGTGTATGTGTATACGTGTATGTGTTTCATTGTGTGTTGTGTCTGTGTGCGTGTTATGTTCTGCCTATGTGCTTGTGTATTTTTTTGTGTTGTGGATGCATGCGTGCGTGCGTGTGTGTGTGCGTGTGTGTGTGTGTGCATGCATGTGTGTGTGTGCGTGTGTGTGTGTGTGTGTGTGTGTGTGTGTGTGTGTGTGTGTGTGTGTGTGTGTGTGTGTGTTTGCAGCTGACAGTTGTGTC